CCAAAAACATGAGCAAGCAAAAGGGTCCTTGGATTTCTATTTTGGCTAATAAAAAACGACGATAAAAAATGCTAAACTCATTGGTTTAAAAAGAATGCCAGATACGTCTCCATCTCTAAACCATTGATTTTAAAATCCCCAATGACAAAAGCACACAACCCACTTTTCCATCCAAATACAATTTCGTTTTCTTTCAGGTTCTATCATGTTACACAATAATGCATACCCACTCCAAGCTGTCCTTTCCTAATAAGAAACCCACCCAAAATTCCAATCCTACCCTTCGTCTAACTCCCTTAACATAATCACCCTCCGTGCACATTAAAAACATTTTGGTAAATTAAACTACCTTTACCAACATGCGCCCATCTTGTATTTATATGCACAGGACTTTAAAAGCTTTCATTTACAAAAAGACAACATCCCGAAAAGACTCTCTAGCAAAAAAAGCAGAGCAGTAATCGGAATGTCGCCGGCCGCCGGAGCTCGCATGCCACTGCTGCCGGGGAACAAGCCTGTGAGGCGGGCAACGGTGTCGGGGGCAGTGTTCAACGTGTCGACGAGCATAATTGGTGCCGGAATTATGTCAATACCGGCCACTCTCAAAGTGCTTGGTGTCATACCAGCTTTTCTGCTTATCGTGATCATTGCTTTCTTGGCTGATGTCTCGGTTGAGTTCTTGATGAGGTTTACGCATTCCGGCGAGTCCATCACGTATGCTGGTGTTATGAGAGAGTCTTTTGGGCAGGTGGGATCTGTGGCAACACAAATATGTGTTATGATCACTAATCTCGGGTGCTTAATCATGTACCAGATTATAATTGGTAAGCTTCAATTTTTTTAGTTTTTTTTTCTTCTGTTGTTTCTAACTAGAGCTTAATGCAAATTAAAGGGTTCTTTTTTTTTTTTTTCTTTCTGTTTTTTATTTTTATTTTCAGGGGATGTTCTATCTGGAAACGGGTCTTCAGGAACAGGACATTCAGGGGTTCTGCAAGAGTGGTTTGGAATCCAGTGGTGGAACTCACGTGATATTGCTATCCTGTTCACTCTCGTGTTCATTTTTCTGCCACTGGTCTTGTTAAGGCGTGTAGGTAAGCAATTTTGCAGAAGGAAACAACCCTTTTTTTGTCTATATGTTGTTGAACTCTGTGCTTATTAATTATGCTTATCTGAGTGTTTAAACGTAAACTCTGTCTGTGATGGCATCTAATTACTAACTGGCTGGAGTTTTCAGAATCTCTCAAGTACAGTTCTGCCATAGCGGTTCTTCTTGCTGTAGTTTTTGTTGGCATAAGTTCTGCCATGGCAATCTATGCCATCTTTGAGGGAAAAACCAGCAACCCAAAGTTGATACCAAGCTTGGACAAACAAACCTCCTTCTTTGACCTTTTCACTGCTGTTCCAGTCATTGTCACGGCCTTCACTTTTCATTTCAATGGTAAGAAATGAACAATTTATTATTTACATCTTGAATTTTCTGATCAGTGGTTCATTGGTTTCTCTCTGATTGATGGCTTGCAGTTCATCCCATTGGTTTTGAGCTTGGCAAGCCCTCTGATATGATATCAGCGGTCAGAATTTCACTGGTGCTTTGTGCAGCAATCTATTTCTCCATCGGTCTTTTTGGGTATCTTTTGTTTGGAGATGCAATAATGAGTGACATACTTGTCAATTTTGACAAAAGTTCAGATTCAGCAATGGGTGCTCTGCTTAATGATGTGGTCAGATTAAGCTATGCACTTCATCTGATGTTGGTTTTCCCACTGTTGAACTTCTCTTTAAGGGTCAACTTAGATGAACTTCTCTTCCCTAAAAAGCCACTTCTGGCCACAGACACTAGAAGATTTGTGATCCTCACTCTTGGTCTGCTAGTCTTCTCTTACCTCGCAGCAATTGCCTTCCCAAACATTTGGTATATCTTTCAGTTTCTGGGATCAACCTCCGCAGTCTGCCTTGCCTTCATTTTCCCTGGTGTTATTGTTCTAAGGTACTCTCTCTCTCTCTCTCTCTCTCTCTCTCTCTCTCTCTGTGTTAAAAAAAATGCTAAATTTGACAATCTCTTTATTCTATGCAAATTACAGGGATGTACATGGCATATCTACAAGAAGAGATAGAATCATGGCGACTATAATGGTGTTCTTGGCAGTAGTTACAAGCGCAATTGCCATTTCCACCAACCTATACAATTTTTTGGGGAACAAGTCATGATTGATTTTCCTTTTTCCTTTTCCTCATTTTTGTTGTAGCTGAGGTGCTTGTATTCTATTGTATTATTCATAGCATGGCTTCTATAGAGTTCACAAACATTCTCTATCACAATGATATTACATGATGTTTGTACCAAAAGAAATGATATTGCATGATTTGGTGCATTACAGACATAAATGAAGCAGCATAATGACCAATTACAAGCCTTTTACAGAAATAATCTTGGTAGAATTATTCACCACCTTATGAAATATGCACTAAATTCAGGCATTTTGCGGATTTTATCTGCAATTGATTGAAATTGTGATGGTTCTCTAATTTTGAAACAGCATCTGTGATCATTGATATGAAAATTCAAGCCAATTTACTGAATTCAAACTCTGTTTATTACATTTAAGAAAGAAAAGATACAGGGCATATCCATATATCCTTACAATGCAGGCATGGCCTTTTTGAGATTGTGTTGCATCCTGTAATAGGAGGCTAAGAGTCTGAAGACCTTGACACATTTGTAGACGGAATATCGTATCTAAGATCTTGAAATCTCTTGAGCAAGCCTGACTTGTATTTCTCAATTTCAGCACTCTCCGAGGAATCAGGGGTTGATCTGATAACTGAGATTGCCCCAGCTTGGTGTAAAGCTCCAATAGCTTGATCTGCAGTAATAAGAAAGGACTGATTAACACAGAACAACTCTAGTTGTACCCACTACAAAACACTAAAGGAGCTTTTAGAAATTAAACTTCTGCAGAATCACCAAGTTAATTTTGTAAACGACATGTTTTTCTCAACATCTAGAATACATGTTTAGCCTTTTTGTTTTCTAAGCACTAATATTACATGTTCTTTTAACAACTGCCTACACAAAACTGCCAAATATTATTACCACAATTATCAAATGTGCATTACGCTTACTGGAGAATTACTCCTAGAAACTGCTATATAAATTCAAAATCTGAACGTAGCGGGCATATAATACATGCTTCATGCATCTAAAGATTTTAAGGCTACACTTTGCTGGAATTACATTCTTCCATTCAGTAATAAACAGGAATGAAATTCATTCCACCAGCAATGTATGGTGGTGGTCATCTTTAGCATTCCCTGACTTTCAGTTGATGTGCACCCATTCTAAGAATGAAAGAAAGTTTGAAGGGATAGACATAGGGGTATCTAGTACTGACTGCAAATGGTAAAGCCTGACCTGAGGGTGACAGAGCAGAAAGAGCTTTCAAAGCCTCCTTCCTTGTGCGGTCATCTTTAGCATCCACCAACATGTTTATGAGCTCTTGAGCACCACCCATCTCCACTACTTTCATCCTCCTTTCATCTATAAATCAAGAGAAACAAACTTCACTATCTGACCCTTGATTTTCATGTGCTACATATTCAAAAAGCTCAGGATAGAAGTCCAATGGCAAACCATTTAACACAATAATTTACAACCGGATTCAAGACAGTTGGATGTCTGAGAGAAATAATCACTTCTTATGTTATGCAGCTCAAACGCAAGACAGTTTCTGAAAACGATTACATAACTGGTAACTCATTACCAGTCAACCAGGTATTATCTAATGAGTGAATTTTCTAAAAATAAAATACTGACAAAACAGAAAATAGAGCTACTTTGAAGTTACCATCAATCGCAAACTGAGCTAATCGAGAAGCCCCCATTCTCTTGAACAAAGGATCCTTGACTGTTAAAAGTGACACGGACTGTTGCAACAAATTATCTCCTGGAAACGTAGTAAATTACAAGAGCAATATCAGGCAAAAATGGTAATTTATTATTTTTCCTTCAAGTTAAAAAAAGAAAAAAAGAAAAGAAGAAGATAAAACCAGTTCAAGATTGCAACGAACCAATACGCAGAGTGACATACCCATATATGGCATGATGTTGTAAGCTATGCAAGTTGCAGTCCCAGCAAATATCAACTTCAACAGCCATCCGATTTTTCTTTCAGCGTCCTGTTCAAGGGAGAGCTCATCTGCAATTCAATATCAGAGTTTTCATTTTCCTTCATTTTCTCAGCAACCAAACAAATAAAATATTGATAGGGATAAGAATGAGTGACCTCTTCCATTGTAAGTGGAGAAATTGCGAGGCTGCGCATTCCGTACTGGGTTTCTTCTACAGTAATACTTTGAACACCGATAAAAAATAAAAAAAAATTTCACATCACATCAAAATCGGAGAAAGTTGAATAAAAATTAAACAAAAAAGGAAACTCGAAATGTGCTTTCGTTGTTGGGTATGAAAATTCTCAATTCGAAGAAGCAGCTTACAGTGGTGAGCCTGGCTGCTAACGTGCGCATAGTGCAAATAGATGACTGAGATTTTTCCGTGGATGCTCGCTGCGGCGAAATTGAAGAGCAGAGCAGGTCTTGGACTCGGCGGGGAGAGAAAAGGCCTAAAGCCGCTGGGTCAGGTGCCTCACTTAAGTGTTGTTTTCTGGGACTGAATCCAATGGGCCTTTATTTACAGCCGAGAGATAATTAATTTATTTTTTAAACCTCTTTTTTCCGAGGAAATTTATTTATTATTTTTCGGTAAATATATAAAAATTTATTTACTTTTATTTTTTTGAGGAAATTTATTTTTGGTAAATTTATTTATTTGATTAAGGTAAATTGACAAGTGAAATAATTTGATCCCAACTTGACAATTTTCTTTCACGTGGATAAGATCACTCTACCATTTTTTAAAATAAAAGTATTTCCTTCTTTACGGGAAAAAGGGAGGTAACAAGACCTCAAATTCATAATTCTACCAAAGGCATGAGAATTAATTAATATATAAGAAACTTTTTTTTTTTTCTGGCAAATTTTTATAAGGATGACCAGTGTGTAAATCAAAAGTTGATTACAACAGGAACCGGAGTGAATTTTGAACTGAGAATTTCCAACCAAACAGGAAAATGAACAAAAAAAAGTGAATAAAGATTACTACAAAACTATTGAACTTGACATTGACAAAATCTGATGCTGCATCAATAGCTGATCCTCGTTGAACCCCAGCTAATGACTTTGGTTCCGCACACCTGGTTACCATCTCGTTAAACCAAATCAAGAAAAAGCTCTATTTCCTGTCCAAAAAGTAGACAAATCATGAGAAGAGTTTGTGAAGAAAAAAAAAGTTAGATTAAACTTTCAACAAAAACCACTGAACCTTCAAAGAACATTAACCTTTTGTTTAATTTTGGCGGGATTAATCCTCTTTTTTCTAGGCTCTTGAACCGATCCTTGACAAGGGTACAACAACCCTTCATGGAAAAGAAGAAAACAATTAGACTTTCCTCTAGTCTTGTCTGAATCATACACAAAGAATCGGAAACTGATGAAAGTTTTGGTAAGAAAAAAATATTCATATATACCTTCAGTTTCCGAAGGGATCCAGTTATTTCTTCGGTCAAGAGGACTTGAACTGGGGCAGGCTCGAATCTGTAATAGAAGAATTAACATGTTATATCAAATGCATATAATATATACATAGAGAGAGAGTAGCATTTTTTTAGCACATACTTGTGCTTCCCCAAGCGTGGGGGGAATGACTTTAGTTTCTCTTTTTTGGCTACAACTCGTCGAATATGTCTTTTATGCTTCTCATCGTCCTCTTTAGCTATTTCTTGAAGAATATCTGGTAAGCTGTGACCAAATATGACCGGAAATTATCAGGGTGCAATCTTCACCAGAGTAAATCTAGAGGCAAAAAGGTCATATGAATATATTACCCATCAATTTCTTTGGAAAGCTTCTGTGCCTTTTTCGCTTCTGCTTCCTTTTTAAGCTGTTCTTTACGCCTAGCTCTCTTATTTAACATGACTGTTGTCACCCTCTTTGTTTTAAGAGGCCTGCACCATTTTTAATCAAACAATATGAGCTCATGGCAGTTATGTTTCATGACATTATCATATAAGCCAGATGACAGGAGGAAAATTTTGAGAAGTTTAATCTCATAAGTACAGTGTGACACGAAGCAGATGAAAATGTACTACAACAAGCACACATCTTCGAATAAAGCATTGTCATATTGGCATACAAAGAAAGACAATTATATCAATGCTATTAAAGAAAGTTTTGTCTAATTTACCAAAATAAATAAATAAGGCATGGAATGATCTAAATGATCACCTTTTCTCAGATGCAGCATCCTCATTCTCATCCAAATTTTCTGGATTCATATCATCATCAGTGCCTTCATCAGCATCGAGAAAATACATCTAATAAAGTAGATTGGTATTGTCAGCTTCTCAATTAAAGTAACATGCAAATTATAATAATTTTTTTGTCAGAGAATATATTAATTGTTATGACCCTCCTCATCCATCTTGTTCTGTAGTTCTCTAGTCTCTCTTCAATAAAGTTCTTGTTTCTTATCATTAAAGAGATCATGATCCCCAGTTATACTCTTTATAACTAAATAAATTTTATTATTTAAGACAACATTAGAAATACTCTTAAGTATAAAGGTGCAACTTTACTATGACATGTACATAAAGCTCCACACTTGAGGCAAATTAAGATCCGTGATGATTAATACATGAAAGGAACAATAGACACTCACTTCTTCTTCATCAACAGCCTCCCCAGGAACAGTTAGAGGAACTGGTTGAGGTCCTAACTCTTTTTTATAGACTTTGTGCATTTCTTGTGCAACAGCATGAGCCAATGTTTCCTGAATTGGAAAAACAGGCAAAGATGGAAAAACTTTATACCATTTAAGCCAAAAGGTTCCACAAAAATAAAGGTATCAAGACTGTTATCAGGAAATTACCTGGTGACTTTCAAATGTGGGATTGAATGAGGATCCTGGAGGCTCAACTTCTACGGCAGGAATAAGTGATGGCTTCGCCGTCTTCAAAAAATTCAATAGACATATATCAACTAAAAGCTATGGAATATTAGCTACAACTGTGGAATGCATTCAAGCAATAATACATCAAACAGAGTGCTGCTTTGAGGCTTATATGACTCCAAGATAACATGTGATCCATTATGCATCTTACTATTCATGAATTATGACTTGGTGGTCAAAGTGGCATATTAGCATGCCTCTTCACGGCAATATCAGTATTGCAAAAAGTAACAGAAACAGACAAAAACTGATATGAACAAGAATATGATCATATACTTGAACTTAAATGACGAGCCTTACCTTCTTGGTCTTGCTGTTGTCACCACCTGCAATAGATTCAAAAACAGTAATGTAAGGCAAGGCACCCTATAAAAAAATAAGAATAATAATAATATAGAAGAAACAAAGATTTGATTATTAAGATTGAAGAAACCTTTATCACCCCATAAGTCAGCCATGCCCGAAGTTGAGACAGAACCCTGAGAGATGTCAAACTAACATTAATAAATTTAAAAAAAGGTAGAAATAGATAATATGTGCATTTTACAATTTAATATTATAACTATCCATCATTCAACCTGAGGACCACATTCAGTCGCATCTTTTGGCTTTGGAACCTCTTTAAGTGTTTTCTTTGATTTCTTCAGTGTCGAAGAAGGCACTGCTTGTACAAATGGGTTTTTCTGTAGCATGCTCTCAACATGGAGTACTTTCTGTCTATGTTTTTCAATCTTCCTCTTCACCGAAAGATCTGGTCAGACCAAAGCATATAAGTTCTTTCCACTTACCAAAGAAAATTATCAAGAAAAAAGAGAGAATAAAACATAAGAAAGGAACTGGATTGTACAAAACTCTACACTCTTGAGTCGCACCAGATTTCTCGAGAGACTAAAAACCCGATAGACTACCATGAGATTCCATCAGATTGAGTATTTAAAGTCAAGCTGAACTCTATCCAAATCAAACAACCTCTAAATTATCCATCCCCCTTACAATGGAGTCTCATACTCTTTCACTCCAAACAAAAGGGGCTTTATTTTCTTCTGAAAAAGTATTTCTTTGTAAATTATAAGAGCTAATTTCAGCATCCCATGAAGTTAAAATAAGCTCCTTTAGCATAAAATGCAACAACCAGTTAAACTTACGACATTGCACTCTTTAACACAAAATTATGAAATTCCACCATTATAAGTCTTCTACATCTGAGTCACATATGAAGTGTTGGAAACATATCTGTATCAATGGTTATAATTGCATTGACGACTACATCAAAGAAAATGATAAGTTCACCAACAAAAACCTAACTCAAAGCAAATTTTAACTGTCTACAATACACTTTACAAGTCCTCAGAAAACCAAATAATTCAATCTTAATCAATTTTCCAATGATGTAAAAGGGTATGAAGGCAAAAGCATCGGGGAGAAAGGAGGTACCTTTGGACTTGTCGACGAAGAAGAGCGACTCGGCGGGAGCAGAGGAAAGAGAACCACCGGAGAGAGCATCTTTGGTTGACTGCTCGAAGAAGTCATGAATGTCTTCTGTGCTTATGTTGGCTCTCCATGCCTTCTTTCCCTTTCTAGATGTCTTTGCTTTCTTCCCCATCCCTTTTCCTCTGTTCTGAGTCTCTACTGCGTTGCTTTCTTTGTGGGTTGAAGAATGACTCGGTAGGTACTTCGTCTATAAACCCTAATTCTCAGTGGCGGGTAACACGACGCCGTTATGCGGCCAAAAAAAAAAAACAGCTTTTCGTTATTTTCCTTCTTTTAAATATCTTACAGTTTAAAATAATTTGAATTAGGTAAAGTTTTATTTTATTAAAGAACCGAGTATCGCCGCGCGGCTATACTAATTATTTAAAAAAAATTAAAAAACCGAGTGTCGCCGGGCGGCTGTACTATTTATCTTAAAAATTAGGACAGTATAGCCGTTCGGCTATACTTTTTCTTTAAAAAAAATTAAACCCCGAGTAAAGCCAATCGGCTATACTGATTCATTTTAAAAAATAGAACGACGAGTATAGCTCGTTTTGCCTATTTTAGCCTCCCGAATTTACTTTGACACGTGGCCCCTAGGAGACTGAGCTTAGTGAGAAGAGGCCAGAGCTGAAAACTCTGAAAAGAACCCAAAAGATATGAGAAGAGGCTAGGAGGTGAAAACTCTATTTTCTGAAGGAACAAATCATCTGAGTCAAAGAGTAATTGTTAAAAATAAATAATTAGATAAATCAAAGCTTCACCTTTTTCAGAAACAATTAGTGTACCATTTGAGTGCAAGTGCTGCACATTGTCCTTTACAGACAAAAATATATATGGCTAAATTCCAAAGTGGCCCTTCTAACAACACACTAATGAGTAAGTCATAATTTCTCATGCTTTAGGGGTCTCTGAAGGTCTGGTTAGCTCACATCCAACCCTTTCTCAGGCCAGATAAATCTAAATAAATAAGACAAAAGAAGAGCTTCTCTTGGAGGACAAAGGAAAAAAAACAAAACAAGATAAACAATACAGGAAAGAGGAGCATGTTCTAACAACATTCATGGGTGCTCAGCATCGCCGATTAACATCTCTAACTAATCAACTCATATGCTGGATGTAGAATGTAATAATATAAACAAGGCAGAATGCCCAATTTGCACTCGTCTTTTATTCTAGGCAAGTACTACTACTAAGAAGAATACCTGCATGACCATTTGCAGAAGGTGCATGCAAGTAATTGAGCTTGAAATCCACCCACTGTTAGCTCATCTATCTATCATGGCCTAGATGATTCGTATACTTTGATCCAATACTGACTTCAAGAATCAAGCCTGTGACGTAATCACTGAATGGTAATTCTAACTGCGAAAAATGTTGCAGAATTCATGCAATGAGATGAGAGAACTAAAAAGGAAAACGACATGAAGTTTTTATTTCAAAAACATATAGTTGAAGACAACTCTGACCTGAAATAGCTTATTGGCTTTGACATGTGGATCATCTAAGCAGTCCTTATCCACTTTATATCAAACTCTCTCAGACAATGCTTCATTCTCCTATTATCAAAGATGATATTACAGTTCGAAATCAAGATAAAGAAAAACCATATTCTTGTTAGCAAATTTGTATGGAGGAAGAATGATTCCATTCCATACGACTGCGATATATAATATAATATGAATATTATATATTATATGTTTTATATGCCCCTTCTTAATAAATAGGACTGACTGATACCACTTCGCTCACAAGCTAGTTGTTATAGGTCAAGTATTAATTGTCTCCATTTTCAGAATCCACGGTTAATAGATCTAGTTACTCATGTGTGTGCCTCATTATGAATCCAAAAAAAAAAAAAACAAAAAACAAGTACCCAAGTAAGAGCCAACCATAGACTTATTACCTCGTTATGCCGCACAGGAACTGCATTATATTCAGAAGCAGCAGATAGGATATGCAAGACGACCTATGGTACAGAACCTTCTTAAGCATACCGGCATAAAAAGTAAAAGCGAGAAATTAAAATGCTGAATAAAAACCTTCAAGAACCATTTCTTACTTCGAGCGATGTATATGATCCTATGCTTGAACCAAACATTGATATAGTCATGTAGCTAAGATAATACTGGGATGCTATTGAACCCAGCATCGTTGGCTCTACATTGTCTTCATGCATCTTGATGCATCCACTGTCTTCTAGATCCTCAAATGTGTTTTGCACTAACCTGCCAAAATAATCAATAAGTAATCAAAGCAATGCCACCGAAAGAGAGAGCATATATCCTGATAAAAGAAAAAAAAAATCCATGAGAATTGAGCATGGTATTACCTAGACAAGTAAGAGCTGAGAACTTCAGGTTCAGTATTGTCCAAGCCATAGTAAGCTGGATTAAACATCTGTAGAAAACTATGCTCATGTAAGATCTTGTACAGGTTCAATAAATCAAATACTAAGGACACTAATCAAAACCAAAGGCTTTTAACTTGTGTCTTCACCATATTTAAGTACAAGAGGATCATTGTGCTGCTCCTGTCACAGCAGCAATGCAAATGATAGGCGTTCTGAACTTTTACAGCAAAAAAAAGATAAGTGTATAGTATTGAAAAAATAAAAAGGAAACTGCTTTATTGATTAGATATAGGACTGCAAGATTTCATCCATTGACTTTATTAGATTTTCTGATATTCAAAACCCCAAACAACCTGATTCCTAGTATTAATATTTGAGGCAAATATTCAGAAAGTAATATGATTTGTGTTTATTGATTGTTAGGCGGGCGGATTGTGATGGACATCTACTCCCATCTGTCTTGTAGAATCTGAGCAACTGTTGATTATAAAGGGAGAAAAGTATACGCAATCTGATTCACATATTTCTTTCTTTCCATTTGTTATTATATATAGTCATGTGCGACCAAAGCCATCATTTGCAATGTATCTATGATTGATATTGGAAAATCAACATATCTCTTTGTTTTCCCATCATAATATTCTGTTCCCTGCAAGAGAATAAACACTTATATAAACTGCATGGTGTAATCCAATGCCAAACAGCAAGGTGTGCCCCTGGTTAAAGAACCATCTGCTGGGCTTCTCCTGGCATACTAAGAAACTGCCTTGGATTTTCATCTGACGTTGAAAACTTAAAAAACAAAAAAGCAAAAAAAAAAAAATCGAACAGCAGCCGAAACCGAAGGAAAAAAAATCGAAGCTTGAGAAGTAAGAAAATGATCTTTTTTATATTCTCTTTTCCTAATGTGTTCTTCAGGAAAAACTCATGCTTACTGAGGTAAAACAGAAATGCCTGAATCTTGTTGTTTGCAAAAAGCTCCTCGACCAGAGATCTATCTTTGTCAATCAGACCGGCATAGTGTAATCCAATGCCAAACTACAAGGTGTTCCTCAGGTTAAAGAACCATCTGCTGGACTTCTTCTGGCATACCAAGAAACTGCCTTGGATGTTCATCTGACGTTGCGAACTTCAATAACAGAAAAGCACCAAAAAAATCGATTCAATGCAGCAGCCGAAACTGAAGAAAAAATAAAATCGAAGCTTGAGTTGAGAGAGAGGCTCAAGACTGAGTATTTGAATTTTGAAGATTAGATTGGAGTGCAAGCTTCGTGTTCGTTTCTCTGTCTCTTCATATCACTCGCGCACCACATTCCTCTGTGAGTGCAAGCTTCGTCTGTCTTCATTTGGAAAAAAAAGATATGACTCGCCGAGGCCGCCTAGGCGCCGCCTAGATCAACCCAAGCAGCCTAGGGGCCGCCTAGATCGGCCCAAGTCTCCTAGGCGCCACCTAGATCCGCCCAGGCCCCCTAGGCGCCGCTTAACTCTCTGGCGTCGGGGTCCTCCGGCCTAGCGCCTCAGCCGATTTTTCGAACACTGCTCGAAACCTGGAACGGGCTTGCTCTGTGCCCTAGACATTCGTAGTGACGAGTTCGAGTCCGATTCACTAGAATATTGTACATTTATAAACTATCATTCTTAAAGGTGTTTATCGCTTGAATTTAAGAAAAAGTATAGCCCACACAAATGTAGTCGTCCGCGAAATGGCCATGACTGCGAGTGCAAGCTTCGTGTTGGGTATAAATATATTAAAATAGTATAGCCGATCGGCTATACTATATAAACAGAATATTTAAAAGTATAGCCGCTTGGCGATAAGCCATAAACAGAATATTTTAAATGAGGGTCTCGCCGCGCGGCTATACTTCATTAAAAAAATATTTTAATAGTATAGCCGCTCGGCGATACTCTCTAAATAGAATATTTAAACATATAGCCGCGCGGCTATACTTCATAAAAAGAATATTTTAACAATATAGCCGCTCGGCGATACTCTATAAATAGAATATTTAAATGTTTAGCCGCCCGGCTATACTTCATAAAAAGAATATTTTAACAATATAGCCGATCGGCGATACTCTATAAATAGAATATTTAAACGTTTAGCCGCCCGGCTATACTCCATAAATAGAATATTTTAAAAGAGAGTATTGTCACACCTCTATACTCCATAAACATAATATTTTAAAAGAGATTTTTAAAATTATAGCTGCGCGGCTATTCCGTTCTTTAATTGAAACAATTCTAGACCATTCATTGATATGTAGCTGAAGCAATGAATGTCCATATCAATCTCAAAGTAGTTAGGACCGTGCATGTTAGAGAGTTTGATAAAGGCAATCAACATGGTTTTTATGTTTCATCATCTTAACACTCAGCAACATAAATGTTCAATGTTTACCTTGTAAAAATTGTGTTGGGGGCGTGAAAGAACTGGTTTGTCATTATATGTATGTACAAGCTTCTTCTGAGCAGAACTCTGACTGAGATCCTCAGGATTTACCACCTCAGCCAAGATCTTTAGTCTTTCTCTAAAAGGTACAGTGGAGTCCTTTGCCAATCCTTTAACTTTTTCTGTCTCATCATCAACCATTTTCTAAAAGCATCATTCAAATATATCAACAGACTGAGTGTTCCAATAGAACATAAGATCACATTTCCATCAGGGAGAGTACATCAGAATAAAGTGCATGCCTATCCAAATGGATGAAGTTGCATACAAAATGAAGTTACCTTGACGCTGTCCTGGAATTGAGGAGAGATGTCTTTATCAAAATTCTCAGAAACTTTGAAATACATTATAAGGACTCATCCCCTCTCCATCAGTATCACCAAGAAACATTGCAACAGGATAAGTCGGCAACTGCAACAAGGCACAGAGCAATATCATCAGATATTGCC